GTTCCCCCCCCCCCCCCCCGCGTAATTAGTTGGAGACGCAAACCTGTTGCGCGGGGGGTAGGTAGTCTAGTGTCGAAAATCGTGGTACGAAGACGTATCACTTCGCGCGCGACATTTATTAACTGTGTAATTCTTTCATCGCCATCTTTTCACCGGTTGTATGCATGCTACGCTCAATTTCTTTTGACGTACGTTTTTATTCAATTATTTGTCGAATATTATCATAATTTGCCACTAAATTATATCTTTCCCTTCGATCATATTTTCATTGGTTATATTTATCAGTAGTTTGTATTATGAGCTTTCGTATTTGTTTTTTACTTGGATCATTGTTCCAATTTTATTTATTTCATTACTTTTGCGCATCTATTTAAATGTTTTTCTTTGCTTTTGTATAGATTATTGGTTAATTGCGGAGAAAATTTCCAGTCGTTAGAGACGATGAACGTTACGAAATTCAAAGTGGCGCGACGGTAAGTCGTTATTACAATATTTAATATTTAATCATATATTTAGTTGTAATATTTCATTGATTTTAAAGTTTCTTTCATCTTTTTCATTGATTCTAAATTTTATTTCATCTTTTTGTCGGATAATTGATACCTTTTTCCAAACAGTATACATTATTACGGATAAATTCGAATGTATTCTGCGCAGTCGCATCTTTCGTGTATTGCGCAGCTTCGTTTAATTGGCAGAAAACTACTGCCATCTTTGATGAATATGAAGTACATATTTGAAACACAAGGTGGATATTCAGAGTATAATTTTTACAAATCAATGATATTGCAGAATATTTTGTAAAGATTCCTGGCAATATTAAGAAATTTTTAATAATATTTTAAATATTAATCAAATATTCCGAATTTTTTGTAATAAATAATATTTAGAAAAGATACATATAGAAAAATTAAGAAAAATATGAAAAAAAAATAAATTTATTCTTTTTTTATTTTCTTTTGCTTAACATTTTCACTTTTGTTTGAAGTATTAGTAATTTCTATTGAAATTTAAAAGTTCTAACATTGTAATTATTAAAATTTTCAATCTGAATAGATTTTTATTTTTTGTTACCTTAAATTAATAGATGATTAATTAATTATCTAAAAAACTAGTATTGCGAAACGAAAAAGATATTTTGCTATTGGTTTACTATTCAGATTTATGTTAAGTGGATAATGATTATATTTTGGAAGCTCTTTCGGCTATTAATTTGTTTCCTTTTTTCATATGTGCAGAGAATTTTTAATTTTAAATTTTTATTTTGATTAATTAGGATTAATTGCATTGAGTTTTCATCAGCGTTTTTACACTGAACAACTTCGCGCTGAACTTATAACATTCCTCGAATCGTGGAACACAGGAATGTAATTAAATTTCAAGTTTTACTTGTAAAGTTTGTAAAATTTTGGAACATATCGTTCTCAATTTTTAAGCTGCAGCAGATTCATAAGTCTAGAGAAAGTGTTTCAGGGACGTGTCAATTGATTTTTGAACATTAACAATGGACTTTCACTCCTGTAATTTAATATCAAAACACGTAACTTGTTGGTGAGCCATTGTTGATTGAACGGTTAGGATAGTTGAGTGTTCGGTTAAATGGTATTCCAATAATCGAGCTTGAATAGTGTAAAGAACGTTAGAGTGCAAACGTGTGCGTGCAAGCATACGTTAACATGCAAAGGGACACTCTCACCGTCTATTGAGATAACATTCAAGAGTCTAGGGAGAAGTTGGTCGAGTAGCTGGAGTGTAATATTACGAACACTTTGAAAGGTAAAGTTACACCAATAACAGATCTAGCGAAGCTCGAAAAGGTCAATAGAATATGCAAATTGGCCTTCAAATGGTCGGCTGGAGGTTTTCTTTGGTTTTCATTATCGTCGTTCAAGCTCCTTCTCCTTACGTTCCCCTCTGGTCTGCTGTGAACTGGCTCAATTATATCAAAGATATATATATATACACATGTGGAAAATTAACTCGAAAAATTGTGTCGTATATATATACGACATATATATATATATATGTCGACACAGTTTTTCGAGTTAATTTTCCATACATAGATTGTGTCGTGTGTGTATATATATATACATAATGTGATATAATGGTGTCTATATATATAGACACCATTTTTCGAGTTAATTTTCCGCACGTAGATTATGTCGTTTATATATATATATATATATACATATACATACATATACATATACATATACATATATATACATATACATATGCATATACATATGTACATATACATATGCATATACATATATACATATACATATATATACATATAC